CTCCCACGCCTTACTCCCACGCCTTACTCCCACCCCTTACTCCCACCCCTTACTCCCACCCCTTACTCCCACCCCTTACTCCCACGCCCTACTCCCACGCCTTACTCCCACGCCTTACTCCCACCCCTTACTCCCACCCTTACTCCTGCACCCCTTACTCCCACCCACACTCCCATCCCTACTCCCACCCCTTACTCCCACCCCACTCTCACACCCCTCATTCCCCACCCCACTCACCCCACCCCCATCTCTACATCCAACCTTATCACACTTACTCCCACCCCACCTCTACTCCCCCATCCCACCCTACTCCCACCCCTCATTCCAACCCTTCACCTTCGCTTCTAACCCCACTGTTACCCCCAAAACTACGCTGGTAATTAGAAGACATCATACATTTGTTCACTTAGACACCACTTCACTATCCCACAGACCCAATGGCTAGTCAATATTCTTTCAATATTATATATATATCAATTGCCAAACCTTCACCACAACAGAAAGAAAAAAAAACAGTCGGGTATATAAAAATGTAATAAACGAACATAAATCATCATTAATATATTATAGGAAAAATATGTCCGCAATATAATTATAAAACCTTCTGTATTCATTCTTCACCACACTAAAGGTAGCCATATAAAGAAAATAGTTTATAAATTAATAAATAAAAAATACGTATAAAAAGTAAATAACATCTATTGATGAAGAATTACACCGTAAGGGTAAAAGATTTTGGCAGCTTTAGAATGTTTAATAATTGTCCCAACAGAAATTTTCTTAAATTTTGTGAATCCAGCATTACAGTTTTTCATAATCCTTTGATGAGCAAGAAAATTACGAGTTTTCTTCCAAATGTGGTCAATTCACAGCAAGAAAAAGTTAACGCCGCTGTGCGAGTGAAGGAAGACGGAACATCAACAATGACGACGCAGCCTATCCTTGCTTAAAGAAACACTATTGTAATCGTAAGTGGCAAGGAGCAGAGGAGGAACAAGGCTAATATATAGACTGAACCATCGTAGTTACAGAGAATGCACTGTATGGGTTGAAGCCA